GTAAAAGTTTGAAGGTAGAATAGAACTGCAGGTGTAAGCAAGTAAAAAGGTTAGGTGGTACAACGACAGTACAGGTGTAAACAAGTAAAAAGGTTAGGTGGTACAATGACACTACAGGTGTAAGCAAGTAAAAAGGTTAGGTGGTACAATGACACTACAGGTGTAAACAAGTAAAAAGGTTAGGTGGTACAACGACACTACAGGTGTAAACAAGTAAAAAGGTTAGGTGGTACAACGACACTACAGGTGTAAACAAGTAAAAAGGTTAGGTGGTACAATGACACTACAGGTGTAAGCAAGTAAAAAGGTTAGGTGGTACAATGACACTACAGGTGTAAACAAGTAAAAATATTTTATTGTAGTCCATGTTTTATTACAAAGAACATATTTTATTGTAGTCCATGTTTTATTACAAAGAACATATTTTATTCTAGTCCATGTTTTATTACAAAGAACATATTTTATTCAAGTCCATGCTTTACTAAAAAAAACAAAATAAAACTCTTCACAGTATTTGATTTAGCACACACTGTTTGCTTAAAAATGTTCTCTATTGGCTGGATGTGACCTAGTGGTTAGTGTGCTTGAACAGTAAATTTTGTTGGTTGGATGTGATCTAGTGGTTAGTGTGCTTGAACAGTAAATTTTGTTGGTTGGATGTGATCTAGTGGTTAGTGTGTTTGAACAGTAAATTCTGTTGGTTGGATGTGATCTAGTGGTTAGTGTGCTTAAACAGTAGATTTTGTTGGTTGGATGTGATCTAATGGTTAGTGTGCTTGAACAGTAAACTCAGTTGGATGTGATCTAATGGTTAGTGTGCTTGAACAGTAAACTCAGTTGGATGTGATCTAATGGTTAGTGTGCTTGAACAGTAAATTTTGTTGGTTGGATATGATCTAGTGGTTAGTGTGCTTGAACAGTAAATTTTGTTGGTTGGATATGATCTAGTGGTTAGTGTGCTTGAACAGTAAACTCAGTTGGATGTGATCTAATGGTTAGTGTGCTTGAACAGTAAATTTTGTTGGTTGGATATGATCTAGTGGTTAGTGTGCTTGAACAGTAAATTTTGTTGGTTGGATGTGATCTAGTGGTTAGTGTGCTTGAACAGTAAATTTTGTTGGTTGGATGTGATCTAGTGGTTAGTGTGTTTGAACAGTAAATTCTGTTGGTTGGATGTGATCTAGTGGTTAGTGTGCTTAAACAGTAGATTTTGTTGGTTGGATGTGATCTAGTGGTTAGTGTGCTTGGACAGTAAATTCTATTGATAATTTATGTGACCGAAAAGGAAACCTTTGTTTTTGAGGACAAAACCAAGACCATCATGCATGAATACTTGACCACCAATGTGAAAATTAATGCATTAGAAATGGTAGCTATTTAAAAATTAAAACAATCAATTTGAGATTTGTAATTGTCACATTTCTGGGTAAAGCTTAATCTGAGATAATAAACTATCAAGATCAGTAAGCTGAAAGATTAGTTATGTGTGTAATATATACAAATATGGATGTTAAAATTATTCAATTCAAACACATTTGGAAACAAAGAAGTACAATGTGCTGAAATGTTTTGTTTTAGTGAAAGTTTGTGGTTTGTAATATCTTTTTACAGGGCTCAATTTAATGGTCATCTCAGACATCTAAAAACTTCCTCGGATGACCGACTTAAACCCCTGTGTTGTCCTCTAGAACAGACCCCTATTCAAAACAGCATCACAGTCTGCTGTACACTTATCCATGCCCACACTACACATGTAATGTTGACTCTGATCCTCGTTCAAAATCATTGGTAATATCCCTAACTATGAACTCAAAAATTTTAACCCCACAAAAATATCTTTTGGTCCATTTTTTTTAAAAAAAAAAAGATTATACTTTATACAAGAGAAATGTTGGTACAACCCACCAGAAGGGGCTGAAAATGTTAGGAAAAGTTTGCTTTTGTGATTGGCTAATAAGTCTCTTTTAGTCACTAACCTTCCTATTGTGGACAAGCTGTTTCTGGGCTGCTTTATGCATTTAAATTTTGTATGGAGTTCAACTGAGTGTGAATGGCTGTGTGTGGTAACACAGTACAGTGTATACAGTGCAGTTTGTTACATTACCACACATTGTATTGTATGATCTTTCTATGCATATATATGTGGACGGGCTGGAATTTACAACAAAAACGAACACTGATAACACAAATATTATTAATTTCTAGTATAGGTGTTTAAGATTAAAGCGAACATGACTGTCTGAACTTCTTACTGATAAACCTTCGGTACTAACTAAAACAATCAAATTTACAAAATCAGACTGAGAATTTTCATCGTTAACATCACAGTTGAAACAGTGACCCCCTTCCAATTATGCACATATAGGCCTAAGGCTAACATTAGACAGACATGACCAATGGAGTTTAGAAAATACAGAAAGCCTAGCTAACATGAGAAAAGTGGGAGAATCCAAGAATTAAATAAAACATAATAATAATGATATCTGCAAACAAAAATTATATGAAAGTTTAATCAATACGAAACAAAATAACAATAAGTAAAATAAGGCTGGCTCTGCCTATCTCTCCAGGTCAATACAAACCATGAGTATGAATGACAATATGTATCAGCAGTGTATTGTGTACATGTGCAGTACTCCTGCATTGTATACATATTACAGTATAGTAGTATGTGTAAGATTTCTGATGCAAGTCTAGTCTTACTACAGGCTGTACTTGGTGGGCAGGCCAAGCTGGTTAGAACGTTTTACAGGTCCTTGACTGTTTGTTTCCTTAAGATACTATGTAACATTAGCATTGTTTGGGCTTATATTTTCCAATGTAACAAACCTTCTCGGGAAATAAGGCATAGTTGAATAAAGATCCAAGATTGCCAACTAAACATTAGTTGTAGTTTTGGAAATAAATGAGACATAAAAACATCAACATTTTTATGGTTGGGTCTTTTTTAGGATCTTTGTACATTAGTCTCATCATAATTGGATCTTTTTTGATGGTCTGTGTATTATTTTTTTTGGACCACCAATACAGCCTTCTGGACAACCTGGAAATTTCCTTAAAATCGAGCCCTGTTTTAACTCATGCTTAAAAATAACATACGATAATCAAATGTTTTATCTAACTAATGCTGAAGGCTTAAAAATGTCTGACTATTCGGAGAAAAAGATTTTTGCTTATATTGAGAAATTTTCTGAGAAATATAAGAACCTAATCCATAGAAATTTGCAAATAAAACAAGCCTTTTTGATCTCACATTTTAAAGCTATTTTCAACATTGCTGTTGTGACATCACTTAAACACCACCTGACATTTACTCGTATTTGTATTGATTTATCTCATTTGCTGATTCTGACATCACGTAATCACCACCTGACATTTACTTGTATTTGTATTGATTTATCTCATTTGTTGATTCTGACATCACATGAACACCACCTGACATTTACTTGTATTTATATTGATTTATCTCATTTGTTGATTCTGACATCATATAATCTCAGTTTTTGTGAGTGTATAATATTTTTCTGTTATCTGTTGAAATTACAAGTATTTGATGGTAGACACATGGCTGTGTTTATCTATCTGTACTAATAGTGACATAGATTGTTTTCAAAACATTAAATATGTTTTTATGCTAATTTGTTTTAAACAATTCTTTTAACAGTTGAAAGAATTTCTCAAAAAATGCAAAATTGGAAACTATTGTCGTCAGATGAAGCAGATTTTGAACAAAATGGAAGAAAATTCCAATTTCATCGTAGAATCCCGAAAAAATGCAAACTTTAGTATCACTGAATTAGAACCTTTGGTATGTGTGTTTTAGAAGTGTTAGAAAAGATGCACAGATTAATTTTATATTTGCTAATCATTTTTTCTAACTTTCTTAATGTCTATATAAAATATATATTTTCAGTCAGAATGGTTTCTACCTTATTAGATTTTATCTCATCAAAAGTTGATGCCACTAAAATATATTTTTAAATTTTACTCTGTTGAGATGGATAAGTTTAACAAGATAAAATTTGTAATGCTAAGTTGCATAATGTACAAGTTGAAGTTTTACTGTTGTAGTATTGGAACAAATTTTGAAAGACGGGTTCTTTTGAGAATCATCTTCTACATACATTTTTGTAGTCTTTAAAATAATGTTTTCACACCTCTATTAACAAATTAGTTAATTGACAGTAATTACACCTTGTTTTACAACATGAAAATTAACAAAGTTGTGTAGATTGACACAAACATACATTCTTCTTTGACATATTATTGTAAAAGCTTAGTTCCTCAAATATTGGAAAAGTTTTATACTCTTGGGAACTATGTATAAGTTTCAAAACTTTTTAATGCCAGAGTATTTTTTTTTATCCTCATGGAGAGTAATGGAGGTGAATATAGGTCGATGCTTGTAAGTTAGTTCATCGTCAGGCACTACCTTTTAGGGTTTTTCATAGATTTCATTAGTTCTTAAAAAGAAATTCTCATGTAAACCAGAATCAATCCAGTACAATCATATTATCCTTGTAAGGCTTTTCCTAGATTAAAATATGATTTTTAGTATTGTATAAGCAAGAATCAGTTTAGTAATTTCATAATATCCTTACATAAGCTCCTACATTTATAAGTGTCCTTTTTCTTGACATTTTTACAACAAGGTATATTATAATCAAAATACATTTGTGATCATTAATATGTGATAGTAAAACAAGTTGGCAGTGAAGTACATAAAGTGTTTTTGATAAAAATAAGTAACCAATCATGTTTTTGTTTTGAACATAAGTAACCAATCATTTTTTTGTTTTGAACTTGTAGTATGTTACAAAATTTATAACTTAAGTGCATTTTCTTAACTAAAAATTGAACCAATCTTTTATATTGTATACAATTTATTCCAGAACCAATGGGAGCAGAAAATTAAAGAACAGGGAACTCCCTTATCAAAATACTACACTACATGGAGAAAACTTCGAGACCATGAATTATTGCATGGGATAACAAAAAAAGAACAGGCTAGTTTCATTATTTTAAGGGGTGTGGGAAATACATCTTTCTAAAAGTATTAATTATGTTTTAACACAGTCTTCTAAGTCTATTATATATTTTTTGTTTAATTTTACAAAAAGAGTCTGAAATAATAACTAAGAACCTGTTGCTTTTAACAGCTGTTAAGAAATATAAAATGTTTTTTTGACTAAAGAAAACATTTTGAATTAAAATTCTAGTGTCTTTTTTTAATATGATTTCTTGTTTAAATGTGCAGTGTCGTTGTACCACCTAACATTTTTGCTTGTTTACACCTGTAGTGTCGTTGTACCACCTAACCTTTTTACTTGTTTACACCTGTAGTGTCGTTGTACCACCTAACTTTTTTACTTGTTTACACCTGTAGTGTCGTTGTACCACCTAAACAAGTTTTATTATATACCTATTGATTAGATGTTCAGTTCTATTATATCCCTGTAGACTAGATGTTCAGTTGTATTATATCCCTGTAGACTAGATGTTCAGTTGTATTATATCCCTGTAGACTAGATGTTCAGTTGTATTATATCCCTGTAGACTAGATGTTCAGTTGTATTATATCCCTGTAGACTAGATGTTCAGTTGTATTATATCCCTGTAGACTAGATGTTCAGTTCTATTATATCCCTGTAGACTAGATGTTCAGTTCTATTATATCCCTGTAGACTAGATGTTCAGTTCTATTATATCCCTGTAGACTAGATGTTCAGTTCTATTATATCCCTGTAGACTAGATGTTCAGTTCTATTATATCCCTGTAGACTAGATGTTCAGTTCTATTATATCCCTGTAGACTAGATGTTCAGTTGTATTATATCCTTTATAAAATGGTTTCTAACAAATGGCAACATTTTGTAAAAATAGAATCAGTTTAGTATCACTTAACATTAATCTTAGAATTGAGCTTGTAATTGAGTTAGCTCTTGTTCATTCGGAGGCTTTGTTTATCATTGGCCCTTGCTAAGAACTTAAACAAATTAGATTGGAAAACAGTGTCACTTCTTTTTATTGCATTTTCTTTTAGTGGAATAAACGTAGCCATGCTGATAGCAAGAATAAATCTATAAACAACAAATGATGATTGTAAAGTAGAAATTCAGTCCTTAAATCCAAAAAGAAGACTGTGGGCAACAATTAGGTTTAAATACACATCTGAACTGTATTTAGTAATATTCTTCAACTTATTTTTAACAATTAAAGAATACTTACTCACATATGATAACCTGATAACTACAGGATACTTAGATACTCCAAGTGTGTCTGGTGTACTAACACTTCATTTGTTTAAATAAATAGTAACTTTTCTATCAATGACAAAAATATGGAAGTCATTCTTACATAAAAACTCTTCGTTGTTATTGAATGTTTTATGTAACCTTTCATATGTGCTAGATATTTTATAAGCATGATGAAACAATATTTTAACCAGGTCTTCTTTAAACAAGTTAGGACTAAAGCTTGCAGAATGAAATTACGAACCTGTAAATGTTGTCTTGTGGTACATTTGAAGTGACCATTATTATTATTACTGACTAAAGTGTCCAAAAAAAAGGTTCATGGTCTCCCTGATGTTATAATGTAAACTTTACATTTCTGTGTCTACTGTTCCAATATTAGAGAAATTGGAAAGCCTGACTAGAATTCTCAGAGATGGTAAAGATGTAATCCAACATACCTATAATAGTAAAAAAGCTTAAACTGTTGAGAGCAATTTTCTAACCACTGTTTTGTATAAAAACATAAAGAAAGATTGTCCAAAGAATATCTTGAAATTATTGCTGATGTAGAGCTCCTTTCCTCTAGGTTTTTGACTTAGTTGATTTCAATAAGAAACACACGTCTTTAAGCATGAAGCCGGTTGATTTCTACTGTACCCTGAAGCTCTCAAAATCTCAGCTACAGGAAAATGGATTCAAAGATGGGGTAGTTGATCAACTGTACGAACTCCTGATGGAGTATCTTCAGACCCAGGCTCACTGTATAGGCTTTCCAGAACTTGTTCTTCCTGCTGCTGTTCAGGTATTGAAGCTTTTATTTCTTAGAAATATCCCATCAGTTTGTTCACGTGTACAAGCTATCTTTAATACATGTAAAATACTCTGTTGTTAACTAGAAGTTCTTGCAAGAATACTTATTATTTTATTGTAGTCCATGTTTTATTACAAAGAACAGAACATCTAGTCTACAGGGATATAATAGAACTGAACATCTAGTCTACAGGGATATAATAGAACTGAATATCTAGTCTACAGGGATATAATGGAACTGAACATCTA